TTAAACCAATTATACGCACTTACTGCGCTTGAGCGAAGCGATTTGTTCCACTCGTAATTCGATTGGTGAGAAAATTAATCCTCTACGATAGGAGAGAATTGGAATTTAGTCAGTTATTCAGATGAAAAATGTCTAATTGGACGTAAGTGAGCATAGCATTCTCACCTCGTATCTTGTATTCTATTTTATTATTTCTTTATACAAAACACCATAGATCGTTTAAGCATACACTATAGGAATTTAACGAGAAACGAGGGATTAGAAAGTAGAAAATAAAAAAAATGAAATAATATAAGAGAAAATTTTTTTCTGTAAAATGGGAAAAAACCTTCACAAGTGCAGCTAGCTCTCATGATTACTGTTGCATTGCATATGAAAAGCTTGGTTTTTTTTGTTTTTTTTTCCTTGAAAACTGGAACTTGTTTTGCTTTTCTTTATTTATTAAAAATAAAATACTTATATCATGTGTAAGTAAAAGTTATTTGAAAAAAAAAGAAACAAGAAAATAAATAAGTAAATTGTAATAATAATAATAATAATAATAATAGAAGACGATGCAAAACTATAGGGAAAATAGCATTAATTATAATTAACTATTAAATGGAAAATAGACAAAAAAAAAAAATCAAACCCTAAATATTCTTTATCCACATCCGCATCCCCACCCTCTTTAATGAATTTTACATTTAACAAATAAAAAATTGTCGAAGAGAAGAAAATATAATGTTTAAATGAAAAAATAAAAAAAATATAAAAAAAAAAAACATTATTTATATTAAATAAATTTTAAAAATGCACTCACACAATAAACAGAATTCAAGAAAACAATAAAATAATAATGAAGACAGGTTAATAATAATGACAAGGTAAAGAAAGAAAGGAAGAATGAAAGAATGAAGGAAAAAATGAAAGAAAGATAGTAATGCAAGAAAAAGAAAACTAAATGAGAGATTAGAATGATATAACCGAAGCAAAGGAAGAACAAGGGATGATGGTGTGTATAATGTTATTTACAATTAATAATATTAATAAATTTTAAAAAAATGTAAGTATATTATTAAAAATAGTTGAGAAGCACATAAATGTATGTCGCAATCAAGCAAAAAAAAATTTTTAAAAATACAAAAAGGATGAAAGCAAAACACCGAATAATACAAGTAAAACTTTATCTTGGTCAACGTTTTCTACTTGTAAATACGTATAAAGTGGAAAAGTTGTACCAGCTCATTATTATAAATTATTATAAAATCTTATAAATTCAATTCAATAAATTATTATTATGATTATTACATACATACCGTACACATACACATACAAGCTGATATTATTATTATCATTATTATTATTATCATTATTATTATCATTATTATTATTATTATTATTATTATGATTATTATCATTATTATCATTATTATCATTATCATTACTATTATTTAGATTATACATTTATAACAATAACGATAAAAAGAATACAAAAATAATAATAAAAGAACTCTCATTATTATGATGGAAAACTAAATAATTACTAATCGACAATTAAAAATAACCTTGAGAAAAGTATAATTTAAATTTGAAAGTAAAATAGTTTAATGATTATTAATTATAATAGCAAAACAAATAATATCAACATATAGTTTAGTTTACACAAAACAATTACAAAAACACATCTATTCACACGCAAGCTCAAATATCACTTGCCCCACATCCCGCTTCCAAATCCTTGAACAATATCACTAAACAAATAAACACATTAATTAAGTAACGCTCATCCACCGCCTGCCCAGATGTCAAGACAAACTCGGTACCCCTTTTCCCTCCTATTCCCAAAATCCCTACTCCTACAAAAGAAACCTATCAATTCTTCGAAAAGTACATTTAACAATACATAAGTTCAAGAGAAAAACAAAAAATAAAAAGAAAAACTTTGTCAATATATTTGATTACTTTTTTTTTTTTTTTTTTTCTGTTTCCTATATTAAATAAAGCAAAAAAAGAAAGGAAACAATTCATCGCAATTTTACGCTAATGAAAATTTTTTTTTTTTTAATCTCTATTACGTATGAATTAATTAATTAATTATCGATTATTAAAGAAGAATATAATAATAATACTACTTAAAATCAAAAAAAAAAAAAAAATAAATAAATAAAAAAATTATTAATTTTTTTTTTTTATATATACAAAAAAAATTATATTGTACACAAAAGTAAATAAATAAATAAATGAATAAAAACAAATAAAATGCAGAAAAAATCATTAAAATTATAATTAAATAAACTGAGAAGCAACAAAAAAATGCAAAATATATATTATTATTATATATATATACTTTATAGAAATTTAAACACAAGAAATAATACAACAAAAGCAAAAGGAAAAGAAAAGCCGAAAATGATAGAATGAAAAAGAAGTTACACAATAAACTTTTAAAAAAAAAAAACTTTTCACTGATGTTTCATTTGTATGTCTCGATTCCGCTAAGAGAGGTAAATAACAATTCAAGGTTTATACATTACTCTTTAGACTTTACCCGTGAGTGAGATAAAGAATAAAAAGTCCGAATCAGGCAATTCGAATTTCTTCGTGCTGAAAGCATTGTTCACGTACAACTTATTAGATCTTACACTACTTATATTATTATATACATTAAACTTCTGTAGATGCAGACAACGTTTATGCGGTATTCCGTTCGTCTTTTCATCTGTTGGTCTGTCCATCAGTTAATCTGACGTTTGCCCACATATTTCTGTCCTTTAACCTATACATAGCAATTTTCTTGATATTTTGATGATATATTCTAATCTAAGGATGAATAGATCGTTAGAGGCTATTTGTAGGTAGTTTCTGAGCGAAATTTGTACGGGATAGCAATTTAATATATTATAAATTTACTGCACTCTCTACATATGTACAATATAGAGCTATTTTTATAACCCGAAAGTCATATGCAGGCTACATAAACTTGTTGATATTTTACGACGAACATAAGTGAAGAATTAAGTAAAGAATGGTCGTTTAGCCCAATAATATCCTCTGAACTTGTTAAAAATAAAACTACGGCCATTTTATACATATATATTTCTACCAAAATATATCAATTTGACTCACATTTTATACCCTACACCATTTGCGGTTCAAGGACGCATGTACCAGTCAAAGGGGCTTAAAATTGCCTCACCTTTTATTATACCGATCGATTGACAAATTGATTCTGAATCGATCTAAGCCTGTCTGTCCCTCTGTCCATCCATGTATTTTTGTGTCTGTTTGAGATGATAGTGTTTCGTGACATTTTGATGAAATTCAATATAGTGACGTGTTTTGGTTCATGGACGAATGCTATTGAAAAGAGGTTGTATCTTTCCGACCTCTCCCCATATAACGTCATATTTTGGCACGCTGTTATAGGAAAAAATGTCGACAAAACTCGCTCTTTAATAATATTTGGACATTTTAAATTAGTGCAATTACTCTGGATCGGACGAGGTAAGTTTTTGAATCCCTTGCCATATAACCGTTCCTACGGAAACTGTATAAACACCTAATTGGCAATGCTTCTCGATGAAAATTCATGCATAATAATAATTTAGCTTAAAAATTAATCTTGTCGAATTTGAAAAACTTTGATCTATTTTTTGAGTTCCAAGCTATATAACCAGCGAGGGTTCTAATGAAAAATGAAGATGTGTATACCAAAACAAAAAGGTTCAATTTTTAATATTTTATGATGAAAAATTGGTCCTAAGCAAATCAAATGTAGAGAGTGTGTATCAAATAGATCTATTTTTTAAACCGCACTACTGTATATGTTGGGTCTTTCATGAAAGCAAACGATTCTACAACGACCGAGCCTGATTTTGTAGGAGCAATTGAAAAATAATAAAATCTTTGACAAATAAATTAAATTTACTAAATTTGGACCAACTGGTCGTCTGAGTATCATCCAATATAAGGGCTTTCACGAAAATTATACATTTACATAAAAATAATGTATAATTCTGGTGTAATATTAATTAAGCGAAGTGGCGTAGGATAAGTAAAGACTGACGTTATCCGACTGTAGCATTCTTGCTTCTTCTTTTTTTCTCGGAAAATATCCTACAATTTGTTTACAGCGTTATAACGTTCGAACGAAACTTCTTTTCAAACTTTCACATCTAGCTTTCGACTTCCCTCTTCAAATATAAAATTTCAACTTTCCCAAAGGAACAAATCGTTTGCGTATAAATCTTTAAACGAACACCAGACCTTATTCGGATATTTCTGTTAATCCTCTTATTCACTGAATTTCGCGGTGAATTTTTTTAATACTGTTTACATACTAAATTTTTATTAATCGTTTCGTTACTCGCGACTTGCGTAACGCACCTTAATTTCTTTGTTCGCTTTTACTAGTTTCCTAACATACTGCAAAATTTTGATTTCACCACCATCACAAATGGCTTTAATGTGAACTTATATTATCAAATGCAATTACCGCGACAATATATTTAATCCATATATTAATGATCTGGATCAATGAAATGAATGTGCGTTGTACACGCATGAACGAAACAATTCATTCGGTTCAAGTGGAACTTGCATATAAAACTTACTCCATCTCAAGAAATTTTGAAGTGTCACTAGGTTTTGATAGATGGCACTTTAAGTTAACATCTTTGTTGCTGGACCGATTATAACGAAGTTAACATAAAATAATTAATTTAATACCCACTATAACAATTTCCTTGTAACTATTTAAAAATTGCGCAACTTTTATTAGCAAATCGAGAATACCTTTGAAGCGAATACTAAACTTTCGATTCAACATTTACTATACTCTGTAAATTAGTGACGAATCCTGGAGATTTTCCCTTTTATGTATTTTCCTAAAAATTATCTGCCCATTTTGGATGAATCATTCAAACTTTCTTCGGCGGACTTCAGCTTTGTAGCTTTGAAATTCGAAAGACAATCACTAATAGGCAAACAAACAGCATATTTTAATTTTTAACAAAAATGCATTGACTTTTTGGAATCCCTGGTACGTATTTTTTGGCGATCAAAAAACTTGGCATTTATAAAATTTATAAATGTTACATTAAACCACAATTTTTTGAATCAAGTTTTTAAAAGTTGTAGCTGTATTTGATTCTGGAATCTCTTTGAGAACTGAAGAAGTTGTACCGGTTAAAACTCCCATTCGTGGATCGATAGGCACAGTACCTAAATGAGGAACGCCAGCCAATTTTGCTAATTCAGCCCCACCGTTTGACGAGAAGATATTAGTACAATTTGAACAGGATGGACACACAAATCTTAAAACAAAAAATTGTTACTTAAAGCGTCGAATACTACTTAACACATACATACCCACTCATATTTTCCAATATACCTAATATACGTATCCCCGTCTTTTTGCAAAATGTTAACTCTTTACGTACGTCATCCAAAGCAACGCCCTGGGGCGTGGTGACAATAATAGCACCATCGCAACGCACATCTCGCATACATTCCATTACTGTTATGTGCTCATCTGATGTACCGGGTGGTGTATCTATAATTAGATAATCCAAGTCGTCCCATTTTACATCATTTAGGAATGTTTTGATCATCATGGTTTTCTTGGGACCCCTCCATATAATTGGATCGTTACGATTTTTTAACAAAAATCCAATGGACATAACGGCCAATGTTTTACTTGCATCTGTATAGATAGGCACCCAGCCATCTTCGCACTGATAAATTTCGCATTGCTCCAATCCTAGCAAATATGGTACTGAAGGGCCACATAAGTCTATATCAAGCAGGCCTACCTAAAAATGCAACGTTGAGAAAAAATTGTGATTCTAAGATTTATGAAGTCGTAATTACCTTTAATCCATTTTCCCGTAGAGCCAAAGCTGTTTGAGTACTTACTGTAGATTTGCCAACACCACCTTTACCAGATAATACCAATATAATATGCTTAACCTTATCCAACATTTCCAAGATTTGTAATTTCGAATTGCAAACTGTAAACAGAAAAAATCTTTCCTTGCTTGACTTGCCCACTAACTATCTAAAAGTGTTTGACTTTTACTTTTTTTGTTGCACATATGGCGTAGAAAGTAAGAAGAAGAAAATTAATGTAAATAAAAATAAGCAACATATGGTTTGCATAGTAAGAGAAGAAGAAAAATGAATATAAACATTAATAAATATTTTGAGTCAGATATCAACAAGAAAATGGCGTCAACGACACGGATTGATAGTAAGTTTATCGATAGCCAAAGCCACAATTAACAAACATATGTATATATATATGTAACTTACTCAGAGCTTGTAAGTGATGCTAAGTTTTTGCATTATTCATGAAAACAATCATGCGGATAGTAAACAAAAAGCTTTCATTATTATAAAAAAAATTTACTGCGGAAGATATCAAAAAACTCGTGGAAAGAAAACTAAAACAACGAAGAAGAAGATATATATACATAAGGCATATATATACTTACGTAGTAAAGGTTATTTTTATTAAGAAAAACAAAATTTCCTTAAACTATTTTTTATCTATTTCTAATTTAATATTAAAAAAATGATATTTGCGACAATGAAGCCAAGCTAGAAATATCAGTACTGTATAAATTCAGTAGCACTTTTTTCTTAGAGCATTTTATGAATAATCTTCCTTTAACCTATTTTCTATACACTATCTTTTACAAATACCAATCGTATTTACGAAGACGGTGGCACTTCCCTAAGTAATTTGCCAAATTTAGGAAGAAACAGCCAACAAAATTGCAATTTCAATTTAATGGAACGATTTTTTATGTGGAAGAGCTAATCATAAGATATTTTCGCCTCCTTCTATATAGAAAACCTCGTTTTGCTTGTTAAAGCAGAAAAAATAAAAGAAGATGAACTTTGATATGTAAGTCACTACATTTTTTTCCGCCTTTCTCTACTCTTTTATTCCAGTTTTTTCTTCACAAATTTTTTCAAGTCTTTTATGAATTTTCTTTTTACCTCCTCTTTACCGCTTTTTTTTGGTCATTACTTCCATGTTGTTTTTATCTGTAAAGGTTGGCATTATTTACAAATTGCGAAAAACTTATACAGATCGGTCTTAGTTTCATATAAAATTGAATTGCCGCTGCGAGTTCTTTATAGCACGGACCCAAAGATCAGCAATACAATATTTAATATTGCTTTAAAACATCTCTTAATAACCAATATCTAAAATTAAAAAATTTTTGATCTGGTCACACTAGTCATATAATTCTTAATTCTTAAAAAAAAAGAAGAGGAAAAAAAGGAAACTGTTCAGCGTCAATCAAAGTGGCTCGAATGGATAATAAAAATCTCTGCGGTGTTATATTTATAAATGATGAACGATTTTTATCATTTCATTGTTCCAAATGCAAAGAAATCTTCGGAACACCTGACCAATTAATAAAGCATTTATCCGAACATTACACTGAAATCAAAATGCAAAAAATTGATTATCAACTGGATGGAGAGTATGGTGATGATGATGAGTGCATTGATGAAGAATGCGATGCTGAAGAGTACGATGAGGAAGTGTATGCCAGCGAAGAATTTGTCGATGAAATGTGTGATGATGAAGTATACGCTGACGGAGTGTGTGACGATGATATCGTTTATTTAAAAAATGATGATGAAAATATTTCGGCGGCAATTGTTGAGGATATGTCAGATAAGTCGTCCATAGTAAACGACAAAACTCGCACGGAAACTATAAAATCGCAGGTAGTTCTTGCAATATTAACAAGAGTTATTGTAGTTTTATTCAAAGCATTTATTTGTAAAGGTGTTCACCGTACTAGAATCGGCGACTGCGTCGCAAACAAGCAACCCTTTGATTAATGAAATTTTGAATTCACCGAAAAAACAACGTGTTTGTAAAATCCAGGTTAAATTTCGTAGTGGTCGACCGCGTAAAGTATTTGATCAGCCGCGTGAGCACAAGTGCGAATTGTGCGGTGCCGCGTTTAAGGATAAGTACGTTCTTCAACGTCATGTTATACGTCATAGCGGTCAAAAAGAACACGCGTGCCCAAAATGTCCAAAAAAGTTCTATACTCGCATGGAATTGAAACTACACGATCGTCGTCACACTGGTGAACGTTCATACTTATGCATGTTCTGTGGTAAATCGTTTGTAACGTCAAGTGAATTTAACGGTCACCTTCAGCGTCATGAAAATAAACGTACCTATACGTGTGATATATGTAATAAAAGCTTTTTCGATGGCTGTCATTTGCGTGAGCACAAGGTTATGCATAGTGAAGAACGTGCGGTACATTGTACAAGATGTCCGGCCACTTTTAAAACTAAAAAACGATTAAGTGCCCACATGAAAATTCATTTAAATTTACGTGAGCACAAGTGTAATATTTGTGGAGCGGCTTTCAATCAATCACCTGGCTTAACTTCTCATATGAAGACGAAACATAAAATAGCAAATAAAACTTTAATTAATTAATTGAACAATTCACAATTCTTTGTTTTTAATACGATCTATGATACGATCTACTTGAATTATTCAAAAATATATTGATTTATAAAAACATTCAACTTAATAAATGCAATAAGAGAATGTGTTATATTAAGTTTCACATTAAAAATGGATTTCAAAAAATTAGACGGAATATTTTTCTTGCTCAAGTTTTTGCTAAAGAAAGAAAAGATTATAAAAACTTAAAATTATACACACTCGGAAAAACTAGCAAAAAAAATTCATATTAAACTAAAATCGATTCAATCGTTTGCTCTTAGAAAATTAATGTTAGATTTCTACACGCTTCTGTTTAGGTTTTTTGTTAATAATCTACAATAAATTTATTAAATTTGGAGACTTTTTTTTATTTATCTTTTCTTTCCGTACCATATTGCTCAGCTGTATCAGTATTTACAGAATATAAATAAAATAGTTTTTTTGGTGGAATTTGATAATCTAAAATATCCATTAATAACAAAATATGCATTTGGCATATATATAATAATACTAAAAACAAGAATGGAACTACCTTTCGATTTGGATCATTACCAACTTACTATGCAGCCCGGAGGTTTTCAGTAAGTTATTATAACTATTAATAATATTATATATATATATTAATTGCAAGATATAAAAAAAAAATCCATTTAAAAAAAATATTTGACTTTAAATTTAAAAAGAAGAAAAATGAAATACACATTGATACTCTGGATCCTATATAATAATTTTATATTAAGTCTTGTGCGAACTGTGGACGGATTTGCCAATTTCTGAGCTTCATTTGACAGAACGAAAATGTTGTTCTTTTGGATAATATTTCATGTTGTACTCGTGACGACAGCAAGCAGACAGATATAGTCAAATCGTTTCCGCTATTAAGCCTCTTGGATATTTACGATGTGTAATTCTCTGTGTTATAAACATGGAACATCTAATCGAACTTCATTGGCTTGATGTACTTGAATATACAGTAATATACTTGAATATATTATATAATTAATACTTAAATAATTAAATTTTACTATAAATTTATGCTTCGACAATTTTGTCAAATTTCTATGCGGAAAAAACATTAGAACCTCTTTATGTCTCGAAATCGAAAATCTTTATATACGATGCTTACGATATAGTCACTTTTGGTTTTGGACAGTCATTTGTTTAATTTAGAATATGAATATTCCGCGAGATATCGTCCTTAATTATGCTCAGAAATCATATATATATGATATTTACAGTACCATCAATTATGTGGAGATTAAAATTCGACGACAAGGTGTTTATGGACCGCATACAAACGTTCATCAATGTGTTAGACATCGAAGAAGAAAGAAAAACTTTGATTTTCTCGATGACCGAAATTATAAAAAGTTGCAAATGCACAAGAATCTAAGTTCGCCTGCCAAAAGAAAGTAAAAAGCGAAAATGTAAAGGTTCGTTTGTTGTCGCTTAGAGAGTGAACGGCAACATTGTCAAGAACAATAAAATCAAATTATTTTATTTAGGGAATTTTTTTAATTCCATTCGTTCTTTAATTTAACGTATGCAATTTGTAAACTTTTAAACCTACATATACGGTTATAGATCCAAATAAAGCGGAAGATGAATTGGAAAAACTGACCAGTGATATAATAATAAACGTATCAATAACTATTAATTTGAGACGTTGGCTTAGTAAGTTCCATCATTTACAGTCTTAATTCTACGAAAAAAAAAAGAGATCCACATTCCACGTATGCAATGGGATCGATCATGAGAACTAACATTAAAATGCATTAATTATGATTTAAAGTATAATAGTAAAGAATTTTATAGCTTAAATAACGTAATAATAGATTTAAAAAAAAGAATGATAAAAAATGTTTTTACTCTTAATAAACTCCAATTAATTTCTATATATGTGAATATGAAACGAAGACACCGTGTAGTAGATTGCTCTCGATCAGGAGTACTTCAAATCTCTTGAATGCGTGAGGTAAAGGAACTAAAAGCAGAGTTTAAAGGCAAAAACAACGAAGAGAAAAATAACTATTATATTGTGCTTTATTTTACTGTTCCGATCGTTAAAGGTGATTCAATATTTGTGTCATTCCGTTTTTAACACCTTGACGTAACGTTTACACGTAATGCCTGTAGAATAGAAATATAATAAAAAAAAACAAAAATGAATATGATAAAAGTGTCAGGAAGTAAACTTATTGTTTGTTAAATGTAATTAGATATTTATTAAAGGAGGAATTTTGAAATATTTCTTTCTCATAGCTTCCCGCCACCTAGATATACTAATTGTTATGCTTTCATTAAAAAAAAAAAAAAAAAATTATATTTCGCTCGTATATACCCAGACAGGTTTTTGTCTACATTCATATTCGCATACCTAATGCACAACGCAGCGAAATTTTGATTTGAACACTAAGCGGGGACGCTTTTGGGCGCAAATCAAGAATGACTGATATGAATCATAAATAACAACTCTGTGGCTTATTTTTCTCTTGCTTGCTGGCTTGTTTTTCGCTGCTCTCTGTCTGCCCGCGTTTCCATTTGTAGCGTTCTAGAGATATTAGTCGTGGGTTTTGTTCTTCCATTCGTCGAAAAATCTATCTAGAATGGGAGAGACCAAGCGTGCCGATATTTTAAGAAAATATTCATTCAGCTACGAAGTAAGCGAGAATATAAGTGCATTTTTGATGCAAATAATTATTTTTCATTTCCGAAAAGGAAAAAGTAAACCGTACCGCAAACGCATAAAAACTGAGAAAAAGAACGCACAAACCCGAAGAGGTTTTTGGAAGATGCAACTGAAAAGCAATTTCCCAAACTTCATGGCTGAGATTAAGTAGTTGCTTGCGATCCGATCGGTGAGTCATTACTGACCTCCATCTCCTTGAATCGATGAGCGACACTTGGTTATTGAACAAATTAACTTGTTCAGCTTTGTAGCTCACAATTACTTTTAAGGCCTTTCAATTGATCTCCATAATAATAAATTCTTCTTGCCTAATTTGCCTTATGTGCCGATTAGAAGTCATCATATTAAATAATAAACACACATATGTACCTTTCCTTTAGCATATACAGTGAACATAAAAAATTAGACTGATACGCATGTACAATGAGATTTTGCATACGTGCGCTCGCTTGCATTTGCATAGTAATGTATGCATTAAAGAGCGAATGATTTCATATACAAGAAATAAAGTATAGTAAAAATTTTTTTTGATTTTAATTATTTTTGAAATAATCAAACTGTTATCTAACCTATATAAGCTGTGATAATAGAGAGTAGAATATTAATAGAATATATAAGAATAGGATTTAATTTAAAAAAAAAAAAAAAAAAAAAAAAAAAAATTGCACAAAATTACGTTGGGGGTGAGTTGGATTCATTTATACCCAATCACCACTGGCTTGTGTTCAATACTTGAGCGAAAATCCACTCACTCCAATGACTACATCGATACTATTCAGCATATTATACGTATTTTGAAAATTAAAAAATAAAAAAAGAAGGAACACTACTACTATTATACTTCACCTTGCTTATATAGGATTTTTTTTTTTTTTTTTGAATTGGAATCGAATGAAGCCTTGGTCCGTTTCAACTAAGAAGAAATTTAGGATTCAAACTAAATCTATACACAACACACTGCTAAGGGTTAAGAGCTAAGAGAAAATGTCGAAATTTACCAATTTTTGGTAACGATTAAGAATATTTTTTAAATTTAATTTGACGAGTATTTAAAAAAAAAAATTTAACAAATTCGAGAAGGTCTCAGATATGTGCAAATTGATTCATGAGCATTGACGCTATTCGAGAATACACATTTTGCGGTCTCCGATGCATGCTTCTATACTTCTATACATATTATTATGATTAACGATTAATGATTGTTTTTATAATTTTGAATTTTTGGTTGCTTAATTTTAACATTTTTTTAACCAAGAAATTTCTACAAACATAATAATTTTATTACAATTGCTTTCGTTCTTTATACAAACTGATCATATTGTTAATGCAATTAATTGTTAATTATTATATATAGTACAAGCATTATACATATTTCGAATACAATATAGATAGGACATTTCAATATAAATAATACATAAAAATTTTTATAAATTCAAACATGTTGCGTGTATGTACAAAATTCGTAGCGAAAGTCCAACAAATTTCAAAAACAAGCATTTAGGCAGGCAAGCTTCTAAATTGATTAGTAAGTGTCGACAATAATTGTGTCTGTATTTGTCAAGTATCGATTAGAATTGTATTGATTGAACTCTTGTACTTCATAAGCTCAAAGTAATCTCGAGATCGAAATCGATGCGCAAAAGTTTGCAAGCTCTTTTTAATCGTGTCTTTACCTTTTCGAAAATGCATCGAAATGTTCAAAATAGAATTAAAGTTCATGTTTCAAAAATATCACGGAATCGTTTCATTAAATGTTCGCACTTTCACATAACCTAATGTAGACGACATCTTTCCAGATTTCGCTACGGAACGTTACGTAGACGCAATAAAAGCATTGTTATCCCAATTTCTCATTTTTATTGGACGGCACTAAGAGACAAAATTAATATAGGCCGCGCAATATTATACTTAATACAAAAAGAAATATATATATATATATATATATATATACGTATATATATAGTTAACAAACTTTATTAATTTAGGTTTTTTTTTATTTCTTTTTATTGTTACTACCATAACTCATAAGAAAAGAACCAATGGACCGCACATTCATTTTGTCGGCCGAAGATTTTATAAACGCAAGAGAGAGGTGGAGAAAGAGAAAGAAATAGAGAGAGAGAGAGAGAGAGAGAGAGATAGACAGAGCATAAATTTTATTGCTCCCAGCATTCAATATACCTTAATATGTATATATACATATATGTATGCAAATATATACATGTATATATATGCTTATATATATGCTTATATATATGCTTATATGCGTATATATATGCTTATATATACGTGCATATATATATATATACACAAATAACTTCCATATCAAAACAGCCCATACTGCAGCGATGAAGCGAATAACTTTTTTAATCAACCAAAGGCAGCGAGAATAATTTGTAATCAACTTTTATTGGTGTTAGCCATCGGGCTTTTTATCGTTGATGATATTCTTTACTGTGTTACTGGCAAAAGCAGCGCTTAAAGCATTCAGGCCCAAGTAATTTGGTT